GCGGGGCTGTGGGGATGGGACGCTGCGGGGTGGGCCTGCGGGAGCTGACCCCGGTGGGGGGCAGGGACCCCCAAGCTGGGCACATCAGGCAGGTGCGGGCAGGGCCTCCCGCGCCCCTGGAGACCCCAGGCTCCCTGTGCGCGCAGAGCTGTCCCGAGAGCGACGCCAGGGGCCTGTCCCCAGCTGGGGGGCCCTGGCCCCGAGGAGGAGCTGGACAGTGCGACGGGGCCCCTCAAACATGCAGGAGCCTCCTGAGCCCGGCAGGGGCCCGGGGGCGCGGTGGGCACCCGGGCCGCACCCACTGGTCAGCGCTAAGGCGCAGTGGGCACTTCCTCTGCCAGCATGGACGGAGCACCTGCTGTGTGCCTGCCTGCCTGGCACCATGCCCGGCTCTAGGGTTTCACAGGGCCTCCTGGAGGAAGGGGAAGGAGGGACTTAGACCCTGGCACGAATCCATTCCGCCTCCACTTCCAGCATCTAAAGCAGGGGCGGGGAACCTTTTTCCTGCCAAGGGCCCTTTGGATATTTATAACATCATTCAGGGGCCATATAAAATTATCAACTTAAAAATTAGCCTGCTGGCTGGGCCGGCGTGGCTCAGCGGCTGAGCATCTACCTGTGCAGGGTCCAGGAGACGGCGGTTCCGCTCCGGTCAGGGCACATGCCCGGGCTGCAGGCCCGATCCCTGGCCCCGTCCGGGTGGGTGCAGGAGGCGACCCGTCGACGTGTCTCTCTCACACTGATGTGGGTTTTTTCTCTCCCCTTTTCACTCCCTCTGAAAAGCAATGGAAAAAATATCCGTGGGTGAAGATGAAACATAATAAAAAATAAAGGTTCTGAATTTACCGTTCAGCCCTGCCGCCCGCCTTTCCTTCATTAATAATCACGCCCCACAGATTGCCTTTGGAGCGTCCTCCTGGCTGCTAAGGCGCAAATCTCTCCTTAAATACTATTCATTTTCACGTGCATCTTCCAGGCTGCCCGCTCAAGAGCAAACTCCCAAAGGCCGGAATGGAGTTTTTTATTCTTTTTTTAAAAAATTAATTTTTTATTGATTTCAGAGAGAGGAAGGGAGAGGTAGAGAGAGATGGAAACATCTGCGATGAGAGTCATTGATCGGCTGCCTCCCGCACGCCCCGTGCTGGGGATCGAGCCCACAACCCGGGTATGTGCTCTGGCCGGGAATTGAACCTCGATCTCCTGGATCCTAGGTGGAGGCTCAACCGCCGAGCCACGCTTTTTATTCTCTTTTCCGTTTCCCTCATCCATAGTGACACCCGTGTCTGATAACCAGGCAGAAGCACCGATCACTCATTGCCTAAACTGAACTCTTTCTCCCCGGCCGTCCTGTCTTACGATCTGTCCAGTTCCGGACAGGACCCCGAGTCCTAAACAGAGACCTTCCCCACCCCCCGCCACAGAACAAGTCGCGCTTTCTTCCTCAAACTTGCCGGACGCGGAGGGAGCTGACCCCCCGAGAGGAGGAGGCCGGGAGCCCCGGGGAGGAGACGGTGGAGGACCTGCTGGGCCTGGTCTGCAGCCCCCAGTCGCCCTGGGCCCTGCTTGAGGGCTCCAGCGCCGAGGACCGTTTCCTGAGGGAGCTGGCCATCCGGAACCCCCTGATGCTCAAAGACGCCTTCCTCTACTCCTACTTCAGGTCCCTCCGGGTGGTAGACAAAGAGGTGAGTGCTGGGGGCTGGCCCCCGCAGACAGAGGTGCTTAGGAGACCACCCCCCCTAAAGCGGAGGAGAGCTCCCCCTCCTAATTAATCTCGGGCTGGCCCCCCGAGCAGAGCCAGCTGCTCACCTGATCTTTGTCATATGTCCTCTGCCTTCCCCGGGCGGAAGTCTGCTGTGTGTCTTAGCTCATTTCCGGAGCACCCTGCAGCAACCCTCCTGGGTTCTAGTAGAGACCTTTCACAGCGTTCACATTGATTTTATTTAATGTCCACTGAAAGGCCCAGGGTCGAGGGGGGGGGGCAGAGTGGGGGAGGCATAGTTCTATAGTAATTCCTGCTCCTAAAAAGCCTGCTTTGCATGTATCAGTAACAGAGCCCAAAATGTGCCTGGAAACGTGGCCTCGGACTCCCGAGCGTGCGTCTCGTTTCCTAGGGAAACTGTGAACGACGCAGTACCTGGGGGATGAAGAAGGGGAGCACCCTGTTTGCCTGGGCCCGGCGCGGTGTTAGCCCCTCAGTCCTAGGCAGGCTGGCGTGGTCAGTCGCCCCAGAGAAGAGAGGCCCAGCCAGGAAGGGCCCTGATGTTTCTGAGGCCACAGGGAGCCAAGGACTCGTGGACGGGCTGGGAAGCTGCTGGCCTGACCCGCTGTGTGAAAACCACGGCGATTCCTACAGACCTTAGGGTTCACTGTGGCTCCGTTAGCCACGGAGATGGGCTTCCTGCCCTCAGAGCTCGCAGTCCAACAGGGGACACGGGACACTGAGCTGGAAACCACAGCACCCATAGTCAGAGGAGGGGTGAGGGCGGGAGAGGTGAGAGGTCCCCACAATGCCCTAGACCCTGGATCCTGGCCCAACGATGCAGGAAAGGCTCACAGGAGGGGGAGGGGTTGGGTGCTGGGAGGTAACTGTGCGGACGGTTAGGGGTCCGGGTAGGGGGTCCCCACCCTCTAGGCCACCAGGTTTCTGCTCCAGCGTAGCCCCTCTCACCTGAGCGCTCAGCCTCCTTTCCTTCCTTTCCAGGTGACCCTAGTGGATAAAGACCTCCTGAAATTTCCGAAGCTGGAAGAGCTGGTCCTGAGTGCTAATGAAATCAAGGAGATCGACACCGCCAATCTGCCCCCAACTCTCAAGGTAAAGGAGCCCAGGCTCCATTTCAGGCCTGTGAGCCAGCGCTGCCCAGAGGCCTGCCCCTGGCCTGCCCTTACCCGGCCCGCCACAGGCATTTTGGCCACTGTGGCTGTGGGTGAGGCCCAGCCCCAGGCTTTTCGGAGGTGGGTCACATTCCTCAAAAAATACCATCCCTATAGACTCAGCAGTTCCCTTCCCGGGCATAGCCCAGAAGAACTGAAGGCAGGGGCTCAGATTCTTGTTTGCCGGTCTTCGTAGCAGCATCAGTCACGAGAGCCCAAAGGTGGAGACCACCCCAGTGTCTATCCCCAGGCAGAGGGGTAAACACAGTGTGGTCCGTCCCCGCAGTGGAATATTATTCAGTCATGAAAAGGAGTGACCCGGGCTACAACGGTGGCTGAAACTTGAAAACATTACTCTGAGTGACAAAGGCTAGACACCTAGACACAAAAGGCCACGTGTTAGATGACTGCACCTCCGTGAAGTATACAGAAGGGACAGATCCACAGAGACAGAAAGTAGACGAGAGGAATCCCTCATCCCGGTTCTACAGTTGAACGTCAGCAAATCTCCCGGAGCTGGGAGGCTTGGAGGTTCTCAGTCCTCACCTGAGGATATTTTTTCCATCGCTTTTCAGAGAGAGTGGGG